GAAGCATCCTTCCACAGCAGCAGGAGTGTACGAACAAAACTTGAAAGTACTCAGCTGCGAAGTACCCTTGCTTGTCCTTCAGTGGAAAAGCATTACAAAGCCTCTTGAACACGTACTCTGTCAAAGGGGCAGTGAAAAACCAAATAAAAGAATTTTAAACCTCAACCAATTACAGTATCCTTAGGCCTTTCCCGAATCTGTGCACTTTATTTCTTCCCATCTCATCAGATGTGATTTAAAAACAAGAGTCTGCATTTCAAAGGCCACCCTTCTTGTGCCCATGAATGGCCTGCTTTGGAATCTATGGCTTTAAAAGAGGGATACATCTAGATTTTTTTTACAAGATTTGCTGATTAAAAGTTTGATAATGTTAGGAGATACTTCAACTAGAGAGCCTGAATTCAGTATGGCTCACTTTTATGGATTACAGAACGGCTTAAACAGCAGTCATTTAAATTACCACATTAACAGGTGTTGTGATTTATAATGTAAACTTAAACATCAAATACAAATAGCCTTTGGGGGATGTTCAGAAGACAAAAATCATGCCCAAGAGGCTCTTCTCATCCGTTTTTTCACAATAAGTAATTACTTATAGTACTGCTGCCTACGATAATACATGAAGGTACAGTACTCATATTGCCTGTTAAAGCTCTGCAAACATAAGTATTCCCTTCTTACTAAACAGCTGAAATTAATCACTCCCCCTCCGAAGACCTAAGGACTATAAGATCAAAATTTTGGAGCAGGAAAAATATGAAACACCATAAACAAATAATGTGTGTGTTCATATATATTTATATCTAAATACATACAACACATTATGTATGTGTGTATATGTGTGCATATATGTATGTGTATCTGTGTATGTGTCTTCATGGAAAGTTTAAAGTATTCATTTAAACAGCCCAAATGAACTGAGTTTCAAAGCTCCTTAGCAAGGATGAGTGAGCCATGCAGATAAACGACTGTACTCACACAATCTCACCTGCTCAGTCTCTGTCATCAGGTAGATGCTCATATGATCCTTCTTTATACAGAATTCCTACAAATTCTGAAGGAAAACAACATGGATCTGGCCTCAGAAGACCCACTATGAAGGTTTTAAAGATGAACAGATACATAACCTGTTAAAACCATATACTGCCAAAATGGAAAAAGAAGATTGATTCTTAATGAAAACTTAGGAGACGTAAAGAGCCAAAGAATACTCCAGCTTATTCTAAAAATAGGAAGGAATTTACTTGTTTGCCTCTTTCTTTTCCAGAAGCCAAGCCATACGTTTAGGGGAAAGGCTACAGAGATTTCAGAGATTTAATTTTCCACAAGCACACGCCATAAATTAACATACAGCAATCCGATCACATTAATAGTGCAAGGAAAAGCTAAGTGGTTGCTTTGGTCTTTTCTTTCACAAACTTGTGTCAAGCTCAGTGACTTCAAAGAGATTTCCATTTCATTTCTATAAATGAGGAGAACAGACAGACAGAGAGTCTCTGCCATCTTCTGATGCCTGAAGAAAACAGAAGAAAAACATGCCTGTATCTCATTCTCCTAATGATTTCAGCTGCAAAAGGAATCCCATGGTTGGCAGACGACCCTCGGGGCAAGGGCTTGAGGTCTGTCACAGTGTATAAGGCTTCTCCAAACCCACTCCATTATCTTCATTATTGTACACCAGGAATAAAAGGGGACTGACTCCTCTTCTGAAGCTCAAGTTAGAAAGGACAGAATGTTTCATGTAAAATAACATTGTGTGACTTCAGTAATAGGTTTATGCCTTTGGGGGCTTAATACTAAAGCTTCATATAAGGATTTTCCACAGAATTTGAGAGAAAAAAATGAGCACTGTATTAGTAACGAGTAAAATTCCGCAAGTTTTACATTCACTGAAACATTTATATCTCTGTGTCAGCATAACTCAATCACATTGTCAATCATATATTTTCATCCAGCAGCAGGAAAATGGCAAAATTAGGGGGAAAAGAAAAAGACCAAGGAGCTTTAGAGCTAAGTATAAACCCCCTATAAAAACATTCCTCCCCTCCCAACTCATACCCAGGGCGGAAAAGGAAGTGACAAGCTTTTTGAGCAGTAGGTAGTGTGGGTTCCTACAGGGCACATTAACCAAGGGTATATATACTAAAAATCTACATGAAAATCATTTATATGAAGAGTGGTGCTTCCCTTATCAGCTCATGTGAGTACAGGGATGTGTTAATATATGTGCATATACACGTGTGCATTGCTGCACTCTGAGCAGTATCTTTAAAATGTAAAAATTCTTATCCTTTACTGACCAAACTTACTAATTTTCACTTTTATTTTGTAACAAACATAATTGAACAAAATTGTTTCCCTTGTATCAATAAAGTTTCTTAGAAAGAATCAAATATGTTATCGATATTTTGGAATAGCTCACTTGTCCTTAAAGCCCGTTTCAGAAAAGAGAAGCCCTTTCCCTGACTGATATGGGGTTTGAATTGAGACCTAAAGTTGTCTAATCAGCCCTTTCTTTTTTTCTGATTTTGAAGAAACAGGCCATTTGAGAGAATGCTTGAAAAGCACGTTTCCCACAGCAATTCAGAAGACTATTTCAAACAATAAAAAGAGAGCAAACACAGCCCATTGTACAAGTTAAATAATATATAAACTTTTGAGTACACAGAGAAATGGGAATCTGGCTCATATCTGGTCTTTGAAAGATTCACAGGAAATTGATTTAATTAAACCTCAACTACTGGTGCAAATGTTTCCCTTTCTTCCCGAAGGGAAATAAAGTATTATATTATTCTTGTTGACATAATGCAGCAAAGCTTAACCAAGATTCTTGATCTTCATCCCACAAACCTTTACAAATTAGCAAGACCAAAAATCATTACCGAAATATGCATTTATCACAAATTGCTGCATTTTTACCTACATGTACTATCAAAGATTCCCACTTGTAACACCTTATTCACAGAGAAATTCATTAATATGCTAATTACCTGACTAGCAACCAGTGATGACTGACAATTTTACTTTAGCACTACATGAAGAAGACATGACAATAATTTTCTGCTGGAGTTCAAACAGAGAAGACACTGTGTTGCATTAGAATATAACTCATTTAGGGAAAACGACTCATATTTGTAGAGGACCTCTAAGAACAGGCTAGCCATCTGCACCCAGAAATATATATTTTTTAATTAGCCACTCTAAAAACAGCCATGTTGGCTGAAGGGAAGGGGGAGGGAGGCTTGTCAAAATGATGTATTTGTCCCTCACCACCTTTCAATGCTCTTATGCAAGTCTAATTTTCTTCCTAGCCAGCTCACCTCTCTGGCCTCCTTTTGTTTCATGTCCCATTTCCCATTCTCTTCTAACTTCTGAACTTTTGTTAGTTCGCTTTTAAGGAGAAAGGGAAAAAAAGCTCAACTCTTTCCTATTCATTTTTTCCTGGATGGGGAGTGAGCAGAGACATGAATATGGCACCCTCATAATGATTTAACTAGGGCTTAATGAAATTTTCATCACAACCTGCTGTTCAATTTAATGGCCTTTGAAAGACAATAGAACAATGGCTAGAGGGAAGAAAAGATTTTTTGTTGCACGCATTTGCAAAGCCCAACATTCAGTTGCTCCCCCTCCTCTCTCTCCCAATCTCTTCACAAAGCTGTAGATCTTTTGTTTGTACTGTATATTTTCATTTTAGTAGAGCTGAGATAATGCACAAGTTCTGTAACCATTCTCATGTCTATCTGTGGCCTTTCCTTAATGGAGTCTGTGCAGCTTGTACAACCTCATACTCAACAGAACTCCTTGTTCTTTCCTCTCTCAGATAAAAGCCTGGTCTCCTTCCCACCCATTCCCCCCCAGTCTCTTCCATCCAAGGGCACAAGGTATATTATGGCACTGACCATTACATAAACCTAACTGCAAAAGAAATGTTGTAAGTAATATTAAAAAAATGCTTAGACGAAGAATTTGTTTCCCAGCAGACCCTTACTGCATGCTCCAGTCAAGAAAAACCTAATTTACAATCCTATCATGCTCGTGTATGTGCCAGCATGTTTGTATCTGTGTTTTCATTCCAGTATGCAGGTTGTCCTTAAATTTTCTTGTCACTTCATGCTTTAGCACTGAGGTGGACCCTGAAAGCCCTGCTTTTAAACATTTGGAATAGATTTCTACAACAGGATAGGTGAGTGCAAATGAAAATAGAGTCTCATTGCTGTGCACTAGGAAACAAGGCTCAGTATGTTCACACAATTGCTCGCAGTGCTCCAAAAAGGCTGCTGTAAATATGCATGCAGATACCTTTGGAGAGAATAACAAGAACTTCATCTTCCAGTCAAGACTTTGACTCTGCCCCAAACAGGCAAAAATTAAAAATCCTAATCTTTGGTCTTAGTCCACAGAGCACAAGTCCTACCACCACCAGCAGGAGAGAAGGTCTCAAAAAGACACCTGTTCTCCAGAAATGATATCTATAAGCCAAAGTTGAAACTTGCTGGCCACACATAATGCAGGGAATACCTGCATTCCCTCTGCCTGTACAGCACCTGCACTACAGATAAACAGACAATGATGCATCCCACAAAAAAGCTTTCATGAATTCCCAGTTTAATTTCTTACCTTTCAAATAATGACATGCACACTAGATCATTTCACAAAAACATTGATGATAATATTTCTTTTAGTTCTAGAAATGGGTAGAGGGGTGTAAAAGCCCCCAGGTGATTAAAACTAGCTTACTGCAGGCATATTGATGAGGTTGCAACTGTAACAGAAAGAACACCAGACTCTCTTTTCTGGGAAAATCTAAAAACGTTAGCTATGATGGGACATTGATAAAATTTACCTCTAATGTAGAAAATAACTGTAAGATCTTTAATTCTGCTGGCAAAGGAAAAGCAAACAGAGCAGAAAACGGCACAATTAAAAAGTATATGTATCCAAAGGATCTGGAGAAAAGAAAAAACACAGAAAATTTTGGCCAGCTTCCCAGGCCTTACCTTCTGGCTCGTTTTTGATGAGCTCTTCCATTTTCCTTTGCTTCAGGGTGTCCACGACATCTGCGAGGCTCCCCTTGCGCCTCTCTGGGGTTCCCAGGGCTGTGCTGGACAAGGACTCTCCACTCTGACGCCCACCTTCTTCTGCCTTCAAGGGTGAGGTAGATGAGTTGTGCGGGGCAAATGAAGACATCACTTTATTGCCATCAACTTCCTGAAAGGGGAGAAAAACAAGATGAAACATTCCTTTCTTTTCTTGAAGAAGGGGGAAAAAATAGACAGAAAGAAAGGAAGAACAATCCTTTGTTCTTTGAGTTCATTGCTATTTGTTCTTCTGTTGAAGCCTTTAAAAAAGTCATGCAATGCTTCAAAAACACCCAGAACAAAGCCTATCCATAAAGCATAAACCAAGATTACAGGCTGGCGTGAACAAAGATCAGCTTGCAAGAGAGAAACATAAAATACGGTTTTTCCCTAATTGAGAAGAAGTGTTGTTCTCATAGGTTTCCTAATAACAATGGTATTGATTACCTGTAATTGTTTGTTCTTCTACAGCTCTCTTTCTAAAAAAAACCTTCAATTTTTACAAGGACCATTAATTTCCTGACTTTATAAAGTACTTAATGCCTTGATTGGCTAGTTGTTTTAAGAAATAAAATAGCAACTAAACATTAAATGTCCTTCACCATATGACATATTTTTATTCACAGTTCAAGCAGTTCTCCCATCTATAAAGGATGAAGCAATTGCTTTCTGTTTTCTAATCCTATTCTCTTCTGTCATAAACCTTCACTTCTTGTAGAAACAGTATTTTTCACAAAGGTGGTCCTAATGACTTTCCCTGGCAGCACAATGGCAAAACTCTGTGACTTCCCGGAACGTGCACACAACCCTCCTCACGTGAGAGTCCACAGAGGTCTACTCATTAATTTTAATGGAAAGCAAAACTGGTTCCAGCATCTTCAAACTTGCCTTCATTAACGTGAGAGCCTTCTCCTCCACATCTCCTCCAACATAAAGCAACGTTCTCTGCACACATTCCTTCTCCTTTCATGTCTGTTATACTCTACCCTTCTGTACACATCTCCCAAACCCATTTTTATCTCTGCTAATATATGCCATCTGTACCTGAAAAACTTAGGCCAGTGTCTCCAAATAAAGACTGCAGCAGAGTAATAGATTGCATAAAATATAATACTGTAAACATGTTTTTATTTAGATGTGATTTTCCAGGTTTTTTTTTCACTATCCTATTACCTTACATTTTTGTATTCCAGCTGTTTAATGAATACTGTT